GGGGGGGGGGGGGGGAATTGTGCGAATTAAGAATTCTCAGCGACAAATTAACATTATTTTTGGATATTGTGACCTTGCTCTTTTTGGTCCTTTGCTAAAAATCGTCTAGTGCCTATTCGAGGAATTATATAGAAATTTATTTTTTTCTAAGCTTTTTTTTTGGATATGCATTAGATCAAGATTTTTTATGCTTATGCCGCGTGGATTCACCCGTATCGCTTGTGGACTTATCAATGTCGGTTCATTGCAGTGTCGAGCAAGAAATGCATTGAGAATAAAATTTTTTAAAAAATTTAATGAACGGAGATACTCATGCAACCCCGATAAATTATCGAATGATTAATCGATACGTTATCGTATCATGGAAAACGATGAAACTTGTACTATTCGTATCGCAATAACGAGGATCAAAACGGGCATTCAAACCAGTCGCACAAATATACCGGCAGAAGATACGTAAACCCGACACTCGAAGAGCTTGAGAATCGCTCCTAGAATCCCAACTAAATTATATGAATCACTACTAGGAATCCCGTCAACCTCTATGTATAATAACTTGCCCTCTAAGATCTACTAGATAAGACTATCAACGCTTTCAGGTATTATTGGTATTATTATTATTCGCAAAATTTGTCGCGTCAAAGATTTTCTTCTCCGCCGTGTTAATTTTTCTTGCCGCACACACTCTTCGCGGACGCCGATCGATATTGCTGGAACAAGCGGCAGACGTTAATTATTCGCGGGATTTTACCGAGTCCCTGCATCTCGAATGATCGCCGTAGCGAAAAGTACAGAGGGGATATCAAATACCTACAGTTGAAAAGTCTAATTGCAGTATGCATCGTGAACAACAGAGAAACCCAATGGAGACGCGTAGAGTGGTCGGGAGATGAAAAAAAAAACTGTTTTCGGATCTAAATTTCTAAATGGATTAGGGACACTGTGTAAATGAATTTTTTAAATTGCAAATCGCGCGCAGTGATAACGTGCGAAGTTAGAGGCGACAGTGAACAATATTTACGTAACTCGTAACTCTTATAATATAAATATTTACAAATATAATATAGTATTAAATTCGTAATAAAAATATTTACGTAACTCGTGGACTTTATTAGCCTGAACGTTAAGACTGACGCGATCGGTTGTTACCAGATTTAACGTAAATAGTACAATAACAAAAATTCAATTTTCGTATAAGCTTCGCTGTCGTGCAGCATGTCTCTTGCATCTAACCTATGGTTACCGAGGCGTTACATTGTCTGGAGGGTCACGTGTTCAGGCGCACGCGATTTAAAACTTTCTTGGAAATAACGAATGCTGTGTGTAGTCGTCGCGACTCAAGTACAATGGGCCATTCATCGTCGGGGTGGACGGAGAAATGGTTGGCGGGGTGGAAGAAATAAAAGCAAAGTGTATGAGAGAGATAGAGCGAGAAGAAGAAACTTGGCGAAAAAAATATTCCGGATTATATACATATATATAGATACTGTATATGTATATACCGGATGCTTGTGTTGCAGAAACATGAAGTAGCGAAAACATAAGGCAAGAATGAAAAAAAAAATCGAGAAAGGAGAACAGAGGAATCATTCACTCGAAAATTTCACATTTCTCTCTCTCTCTCTCTCTCTCTCTCTCTGATTTATCTTTCTTCTCTCTCTTTCTTATTTCCATTCACCTTCTTCAATAAAATAATCCAACGCACGCGGCGTCTGCTTCGAGGCTACTTATAGTTGTTCTCGCAAATGGTTACAATCGGTGATTTTCATTTATTTAACTCGTAATTAAAAGTACTCTTAATTGAAGCTAAAATCGTTATATTCGCTCTGATCGTTTCAACGTGCCGGCGATTCGATTTTCAGTCACGAACGCTCAATTACTGTTGCCGGTTATCGTGCGATTATCACGTAGGAGGGCAGCGCGCATGCGCGAGACTCGTGCATCTTCTTTCTCCTCGTGAGAAATGGAGCGAGATAGGAAGAGGACGAAGAGAGGGAGTGGGAGGATGTGAATGGGGCGTGAGGGAAAAAAGGAGAAGGATACGAGATAAGAGGGTGGGAGAGAGAGAGAAAAGAAAAGTGTGCGGGTATCAAAACCGCAATGATACGAACGCGGAGCAGCACGGGTTCTCGCGAGTGGCAAAACTCGCGACTTCTCGTGTTGCGCCGTGCTCTAATTAAGTGAGAGCCGAGCGACCACTAGTGGCCCCGTTTGAAAATCTTTTTCCCGTTTCTTCGTTCGATGCCCGGCAAACGCATCTGATACGAAATACCTACCTATAGATATAAAAATGACCAAAGAGCGCGCAGTGCTTCCATAAATAAAAAGAGAAAAAAAAAAGTATCAGACTGCGACCAGCTTTCTTCACAGAGCATCAGGCACCGGTTATCAGAACCTAAAGTGTTTTTCATTTATATTCTGTTATCTGCTTCTTCGATACTCTTGTATTTTTTTTTTTTTTTTTCCATTTTAACTCGCAATCGCTCACGACGGAAATGCCTATATGCACGGCACTGCGTTATTTGTACTGAAAATGTATATTCCATACTTGGCTACAGTATGAAGCGTCGGAGGCATCACGTGCGTCCACGCGTATGCGTACCTATCGGAGGCAAAAGAGAGTATAATAAAATTCATGACGGATTTCCAGCGGTTCGTCAAGGTGGCCAACAATGCGTGTCTCCCGACTAGCACGAAATAATGGGACGGCACAGCTATTGTATAATATTATTTTTATTGTATATCCGTTTTTCTTGCCTTTCGTGCAACAACGCTGGTCGGCTCTTTTTTATACAGTCGCGTTGCTGTATATCTGTATATAGACTTCTGTGGCGTACCGATTATGACCTCTTGCACGTATAGGCCCGTGCCACCGCGTACGGGGCTGCACGCAGGTACATAATATATGTACGTAAGGCACGTGTCCAGTTAGAAGAGGTCATTGTCCGACAACGTTCGCCATTGTCGACGAGCATGATCGATAAAAGCTGCTGTTGCTTCTTGAGCTTGGTATTACTGTAGTTGTCTTCTTTTTTTTTTTTCTTTCGTCTCTGGTTAGCCCTTTTGACTCTCGACGGATTTCTCTTTAATTTTTATTTTTTTATTTCCTCTTCGTCTACCTCTCCTCTATTTATTTATCTTGGCTACGATCGATCGTGCATTTCGTGATTGCCTGTTGGCATGCGTGGTCACGTTAATCGAACCACCAAAATAAGCATTGATCGAGGAACGACTTGTCGGATATTGGACGATCGGAAATATCAGTGGCTACCGTAGCTTGTATTACTATATATATGTTTGTCATTTAATTATATCGCATTGTCAATCAGTTGAAAATTTTCGAGCCGATCGATTTGCTTTTTATGCACGTGGGAGTCGTTGGAACCCTTGTCTCTCTTTTTTTTTTTTTCACCAAACCGGAAGGCATCCCTGAGCTAACTGCAATTAGACGCACCCCTTGCACATCCGGTTACGAATTTTTTTTTCACCTGCACGCATTCGCTCGTAGGGCCTTCCGCTTTGTTTTTATCGCGTGGACTTATCTTTACGGGAAATTCGACTGGTTGGTCACGTAATTGCATTTCCAGGTTTTTTTTCCCCCCCGAGTGCACTCTGGGAATTACAGTCACTCGCGACCTGAGTGCGGGACACTTCTTATGTCTGTTTCAAGAAATTCCTCCTTGTTCACTTGAGCCTGCGTGAGTTTCGCTTTTGCTCGCGAGGAACGACTCGCTTGCTCTTTTGTTTTTAAATTGGACTCTTTTTTTTTCGTTCCTTAACTCTCTTTCGCTTTTTGTTTCAGGGTGCGGGAAATTAGGTGCCTAAACGAGATACGGTAAGGCTCTGCGAGTGTTGCGTAATTTATCAATATTGTCTAATTAGTGATTTTATAATGACGTGTGTGTATATGAATATATATAGTATATATATATATGTATAGGTAAATTCGTCTCTCTGCGAATAAACATAAATCTCGGCAGTCGCACGAGCGAAAGCTTCTTGACTCTTTTAACAACCTGCATGGGTTTTCGACTTCGGTTCTCTTTCTACTTTAGGCAGTTACATTTCGAATATTTCTCGTCGGGCCTCCCGACGCTCGAAATAAACTCCACGAAGAGACGAAGACGAAGTTTTGCTTGACCGGCTCGCTGCACGCTTTGGCAAGGTTAACGAACCTTCCTATGGGAGCTTCTGGTTTCTTCCCACGATGCATTGCGGGCGAAACAAAAAGTTCGGCTGCAATCGCTTTGCAAACATTACTTCGTTCCGCCGGTAGAGCCCCCGCAGTAGAGACGGGTTAGAAGTTAATCCAGCAGTGTTTTACATTAGATTTTAGACGGGACATATCGGTGTTACAATTTGAACGGCCTAAAATTCACTTGGTTATCGTAGGATCAACCACGAGGCTAATATCGGCCACTATGATGACACCGCTATTTCTTCAGCCTTACATACTATACAACGTAGGCGAGTGGGCTGTAGTCTAGTTATTCCAGTGCAAACGGGCCGATACTATAGCACCGTAGTACTTAGGCGAGTGATACCTATAGTAAGTGCCGAGAGAGTAACATGGCTACCTATATAGACACGTATTTAGCATATTATTCAGAGAACAGTCGCGACGTAGTAATCTTCGAGTCGAACCTATCTTATCCAGTTGGGATCTATTTATATCCAGTGACGTTATATATATAAACACTGGCGAGCCACCTCGTGGGCGTTGAACTGTAACACACTTTCAACCCAAGTCCAACACACCTTCTTTTCCTTATCCTCGGACATCACTTGTGGCGACATAACCTATACAGGGGATACGAGGCTGTTCGGTGTATCTTTAACTGTATTACTAGTGGTGGAAATGGAGGAATCCTGGGTTGAGGGAAGGAATAGAAAAAGATCAGTCATTTTTTTTTCTGGCATGGACAATTTTTGCAAATATGAATTTAAGGGGTTGAAATTAAAAAAAAAAAATGGTGGTCTTAACGTTGCCTCCAGGGTATGGAGCATCGGTATCTTTTGGTCCGGTACCTTATGACGTGCTGATGACCTGTGGCTTTCAATTCAGAGGAAGAATGGAGGGATGATGAGTTTACCTAAGGCTAGTTTGAAAGTAGGTTACAGCCTACTCAGCTGGCTGACTTTGTCTGGCTGGGTACGTTAACGTTGAAACGGGAAAGTTGAGGTCGGGATAGACTGCGTCGACGCTTGGGTCGTTTTAAGGTCCTTGACGATGTATGATCGGCAGGTAATGGATTCTCGTGGTGTTACGTAAAAGGATAGCGTTAATTCTTGGGCTCAATCGTATTTGTGCAATCGTGGACGAAACGTGGGTCGGACGTTTCGCTTGAGTAACTCGAGTCAGTCGAATGACTTGACAATAACGTCAGTCAATGACTTGGATCATAGATCTTTGTACAGTTAGGTTGTGCCAGATAGTTTTTAGGATTTGTATTTTTTTTTTTCTTACGAATTTCTCAGGACTGTCGATCCGTTAAGATTTGACAATTTAAAAAAAAATTTTTATTGATTTTTGGCTCCTTGTTTCAAACAATAATCGTACGGATTTAGTTTCCTTGTTCAACGAGTCTTGGTTGTTGGGCGTCGCGACGCCTGGTCGGGGCCTTTGGCGTCCCGATCAATAAATTCGCGTCCTGGCGTCGCCGTACCGGCGGTCCTCCTTCACCTCCAGGTGCTCCTGTTGTATGGTTCATTTTTTTCCCCGTTTTCAACCAACCCTTGGATTTCTACGTGGGTTTTCGTTAGCGTGACATTACCGGGTAGACTAGCCGTAAATTCATATAACAGTCTTGCGACTTGTACTTTTGATTTTCCTTTTTCTCGAATTGCCCAATTTTCGCAACGCGTCGCGAAACGATGGACGAATTTCACGTAATACGAAAAATCGCGTGAAAACTGCACGCGAATTTGAGCATCACTTCTATTCTCAATATCGCTGCCATTTAACGACCTCGCCTCTCGTTACCGAGTCTCCCGGAAGCCGCAAATTTAGGTTAAGTAACGCTTCCGGGCGAAGCGAGCGTTTTGCCGGCCGATCGTCGCGAACGATTAGAATCTTTACCAAGGTTGTCTTTATGCAGGTAGTCTATCTTAACCGTGCAGACGTCTTACTTGTATGTCTACTCACGTTTAGCCTGTAATACTTGCTATTCCGTATGACGAATTTAATGCGTTCTACATTATATCTACAAGAGAGATAATAGTTGCACGTGGGAATCTCCTTTCTTTTTTTTTTTTTTTTTTTATAATTCTACCACCGTACGCTGGAACAAGCCGTAATTCTCCTTGACCTCCACGTTATTTATGATCTCTGCCTCTTGACCTTAAAGACATAATTATTACCCACTGCGATGCTTTACGTTACGCCTCCGTAGCCATCCAGCCGTACAGTACGTACGCACTACCGTTATTACTGTACAGCGTACGGTGTGTATCGAGCATAAGGCCAAGACCGGTCTCGACCCGCCTCGCTGCACGGTGGCAAGTGGAATGAGCTCTGCTCTCTGTTCGGCGGGACGCTTGGTGGGGGAATTACGGTGGAGGTATGGTGGGAGTGACGCGTAAGACTGTGGCATGGGCGGAGGGGGGTTATTGCTGCTGGGCTAGTAGGGGTGGCAGGGAGGGGAAGGGATTTCACCACCTCGTATAGAAGAGGGAAGAAAACTACGTTTCCTCTTTGTTACTTCACTGAACACGGCAGCTCGCAGTCATTGCCAACTGTCATTTTGGCATGACCGAGTTCAAGACCGCCGCGTCACTTCCTTGATTTACCATGCTCTTTGCACTCTTTTCTTTTGCTTGACTTTCTTTTCTTCTTTCTCTGTCTTATTGTTCACGGGACTTGGGCTTTGCCATGGCATACGTCAGACTGTCAATTTAGCCGTAGGCCCTTGTAATGATTTAGGGTTAGGGACAAGTTGCGCATGACTTTTTTTTTAACTATATCTTTTGAGGATGAGTCGATTTGAGGTCGTATGAGGATTTTGGAAAATTTATAATTAAGGAATATCGTATATGTATTTGAGAAATTGATCTGTATTTCGTTTTGAGAATGACGTAACGGCCTGTCACCGTTAATCATGCCGTCAATTATGTTTATCCGTTCCCACGTAACCAACAATTTGACTTGATTGCGATTTATTGTAAAATTCCATTTACCTCGCTGCAAAGTGGCATCGCTGAATGGAGGAATTCTCGTGTAAGAGAATCTGTTCGATTGCTCAATGGTTTTCTGGTTAATGAGGTTCATCGTCCCACCATCGCCACCTTATAAGACGCGGAATTCGAATTGAATTCCAAGAGGGTACGGAAGGAAAAAAAAATCCAATGACGGTTTTAATGATTTCCACAGGAGGATACTATAATTGTCGATGAAAAAGGTAGCACTGTAAATCCATATTGACATCTGCCATGGATTTCCCGTTATTAATCGCGCACCCTTCCGAGACGTATTTCTTGTACTTAGCAAAAACGTGTACAGTACGTGTATACGAGTAAACGTGCTTTTCGAGGGGCCATCTCCGTATGGCTCTTAAGACGTAAGAGTCACCCAGACAGGATCTTTTTACCTTTGGAACAACTTTATCCTAAGTTGTCCGTATACTTACAACTCTATAGTTATATTTATGATGTATAACCTATTACGGCAGTAAGAATCCGGGGTTTTTTGAATTTTGTAAAAAAAAAATGCAAAAATCATAAAATTCACTTGACTTGCTCTTGGAACCAATTTATGGCGGTAATTATTTTTCATTTCTTTTTTTTAACTTCCGTTACTCTGCACCGTCCCACGGGATCTTTAAGCTATCGTTCACAACGCAGGAATCTGTAGCCGCTTGAAATTGGCCCACTTAGGTTCAGTTATCGCGTTTTATCTAATTAACGTGTCACGTCCTCGCGTCACTCGCATTCCATGGTAATTCCATCCTCGCCAGGTTCTCCTAATGGACCGACTACTTGCTTTTATTTGTCAATCACGTTTAAGCGCACAAGCATAAATTTTCGAAATTCTCAGTCTGGCTCTACCGTTCTATTCTGATGTGAGTCTACGGTCTATCTTGTTATTGTGCGTTGTATCACGGGTACAGTGTATTTATGTAGGCGTCATCTCAGTCGGGTCTCACGTGCTGACTCATCTTTATTTAAATTAAAATTTTTTTTTTTCAAAATCTTAAGGTCAACATATAAATAATTGTTGTCACTCGTACGTATTTCCAATGCCGTCTCAAATACTCTTTCCCTCATATCTTTACATGCTTATTATTACAATGTCGTGACATATTCAATGTACACTCACGTACAGTAAGCGCAAAGAGTACTCGATTCTTTATCGTATGGTACACTTATCTTCTTTTTTTTACTCGTCGAAACTGATAAGCCCTGGTTTCAACATTCCGATAAACGACTTGCATCCACTGTAGATAACACGCTGTACCCGCCTCGATTGTCGATAATCAATATGAAAAATCGATAGATCGAATTATTAAAAAAAAAATTTTTACCTCGTCTGTACATCAGGTACAATTTGCGGTACAAATTGCCCATGCGGGTTAAATTCGAAATATTCCAATATATTTCTTCTCTCTCCTAATTCTACGAATCTTCTGTAATCGCGTCCCTAATCAACGCATATATCACACCGACGATCCAGCCTGACTAAAATTGTCACTTCTCTTGTATTAATTTTTTTTTTGGTCGAGTGGCAAAAAAATTTTCGACAAAAACCTTTCTACCCGTGTTAGCCACTGTCTCGTGCAATGTCTACGAATCATTGTTGCACCAATTGCTGATCGTTGAAATGTACCGTAACACGCAAAA